AAAGCACTTTTCATAAGAAAATCTCAAAGTGCTAAGTTAGTTAGTACTTTGGATAGTACCTGCTATAAGTCAGTTGGGAATCAGACTGAGTTTTACTTTGAGGGAGGATTGTTGCATTCTGATCCTCACTATATGAGTCAAAAAAGGGCTTCCTGAACTCTACTTCCTGTTTAGTGGAGCTATTTGCAATCAACACTAGGTGGTACTAAAGAATTCCAGGACAGCCTACTAATACTTGTTGTGTGAACTCATTTGACCAAATTGACTAAAACTAAAGACATTTTCTCTGAACACAGTAACGGAGAGAAGGGTTCAGGGTGGAGTTACCAAGCAAGATGTGGAGCCGGCAGGATGTGAGCAGATGTGGGAGTCACTGATGAGTCCTCGTCCCCACTTCTTCCTGCAGGTTGTCTGATTGACCAGAGTCAGTCCAACGTGGTGGAGCCGGTCTGGATCGACGTCCACTGCACAAACAAGAGTTTGATGACAACACTTACAGCTTTGGTTGTTTCCTGCTCCATATGTGGACATGTGGAGACTACCTGTTGCTTTTGTGGTTCCCCAGCCGGTTGTGACACAAGACCAGCTGTCATCGAGCTCTTTGTCCTCTTCGGGGACACAAACTGGAGACACATTGGAGCCTGGAGACATGGCCAGAGGACAGTTTCAATAATATCTTAGAGCATCAGTAAAGACCTGGAACAAGATCACACACACACACACACACAACATACAGTATGTGATACTACAGAGAGTTTGTGTTTTTATGTGTTCGTACTGAATCTGGTGGGCACGCTGAGGCGGAGCAGCGACAGGTCAGATTTCGGGGGGAAGCTGCTGTCCTGTGGCAGGTTGAAGACCTTGTCCACTGGGACCGTTTGAGATGAGAAACGGAGATCATGAACTCCCAGAACCACCATGTCCTTTTTAGCTCTGCAGGGACACAAAGTCCTCAACAGTTGATGTATTACCTGACGATAGAGTGGAGCAGTTCTGCAATATTCTACCTCACAACACAGTAGTGGTGCTGTGATATTTTACTTAACAATGCAGTATTTATAGTAGTATGATTATGTTTTGTGCAGACCTGGGAGTAGGTTTCATGAATTTCACAGCAGTGGTTTCAGTCGTACCAACCTGACGTTGCAGTGTTTTGCGGTGAGGACCCAGCGGCGGTGGATCAGCACTCCACTGCAGTAATGGCGTCCATTGGACTGCAGGCTGACCTGCCAGGGCCAGAAGAAGGGACAGGACTCGGTCACATTCCCCACAGACACCTCACCATCCTGAGACACTGAGAGACCAGCAAGACCTGGAGCTTCCTCACAGCTGGAGCTCTGCTTACTACACCTGTCCTCTGTCGTCCAGATAAATAGAAAAACATGAAAACCTGTACAGTGTTGTTTCTCTACTGAGCTGTATAAGGCAGTGTCAGTACGACAGACAGAAATAAGATTTTATAATTCATTCATTTAGTTTAAAAACCTACCATCAGTACTGACGTCATCTGCATACAGGTTATTCTGATCATCTGTGAATGAGACGACACAAACGCTTCTTATTAGTCTTTTAAAAGGTAAACTCTCCAACAGGTGTTGATTACCTGTGAAACTCACTGATGGTGTTAGAGATCCACTGGGTGTGTTGTTGGACTTTGGTGTAGACTCCCGGACTTTTGGCTCGTCCACAACCGACTCCCCAACTCACCAAACCTGCCAGCTCATACCTGCTACCAGTGAAGCAAGACAGAGGACCTCCAGAGTCCCCCTGAAACACAGACAGGACAATGATAAAAGACCCGGACAGTGAACACAACATCAATGGAGACATCAGACGGTACAAAGAACAGATATCAAAGAGGCAAACACGGAAAAAAGACGGCACAACAATAAGACTAAACAGGAAGACAAAGAAGAGATGAGACAGGATAACAGTGGATAGAAAGACGCAACAATAAAGAGACAAGACAAAGCAGCAAAGAGACCAAGTGTTTTTAGATTGTGTCTGGAGGCATTCAGGTCCTACCTGGCAGGCGTCGACTCCTCCGCTGTCTTTTCCAGCACAGAACATGGAGGGCCAAATCCTCCCGAGGTAGAACTGGTTACAGACATCAGGGGGCAGGATTGTCACATTTACCTCCTGGAGTCTGTTAACTTGAGGACCGTCTGAGGAAACAAGAACCAAACATCAAAGTAATTTCAGCTCACGTTCGGCTGCAACAAGCTCTGAGATATTAGAGTCTGTAAACTGGGGGTGTAAAGAGTTACTGATACGAGTCAAACACTATAGGTGCGACATGACGATACAATTCAGGGATGGTGCGTTTTTAATTTTTCGATGCAACTGATACAGTTAACATTTGTTTAATGTAGATGTATGTAATGTTATTGCTGCTATACATGTGACAATGCTTACCTTTAAATGCAAATATTATATAAAATACCAGGGAATCCCAAGTATTGTTTTCTTCATGGGAAAAAAAAAAAAAATGCAAGACAAAATGTCTGTGATATCTTCCGTGTTCTTGCGTTTGCTACCTGTATTAGCATCCAGACTCCTCGTCACCTGCATAGGTGTCACTGTGCCGTCTCACCAGGTGAGTGTTAAGTGCTACCGTTTTTTTCAAATGTCTTCAAAACTTTAGATTCAATGGTGAACAAATCCTGTCAGCATTACTCTTGTCTTGTAGCAAGACCCTTGTGTTTACGAGTGGAAACACTGTTAGCATGAGCATTAACTTTAAAATCGTCCCATTGACCGGTTCATGGTACATCTAGATCCATCCAGGGGTCCGCGTACCGTTAAAAAAATGGATATCCGACTCATATGTCTAAATCTTTACACCCCTATTTTAATCATCTCTGAATTGCATCGTAGCCCATGTATCTGTATACGTATCGGAGATGGAAGGGACAAACACCCCTGTAAACAGCTCCTCACTCTCTCGGGTGGAGCCCCAGCCGGTGATGGTGCACTTCCAGAAGTTGGGCAGTGAAGTCATCCAGATGTCGATGGGTCTGACAAACTGGTTGAAGACCAGCGGCTGCTGCAGCTTCAGCAGAGCGATGTCGTTCTCTTTAGTTCGAGTGTTGTAGCTGGGATGGCTGACGATTGTGGAGACTCCGACCACCTGGACAGAACAATTTCCTGTATTCTACCACAAGTATTTCTTCAGGTAACATTACCCTGATTCGACACTGAATGGATCAGATCTAGAATGTATATGTTTGATCCTTCTGCATTTCTAACTTGTTGTCCAGGTTCTTCAGGATTGTCCAGGTCGTGTTTTCCCGCCAGAACTGTCCAGAAAGAAGCTTTATTGTACCTGCAGACAGGTTGAACCATCAGTTTGAACCAGTCTCAGATTTAACCCTGTTCTACTTTAGCACGTTTATGAACCTTTTACCTTTTGAAGCAGTGTGCGGCAGAGACGACCCACAGCGGACTGATGACTGCTCCTCCGCATGCCGGCATGGAGGTGAATTGAAGAGAAACCTGCCAGGGCCATGAGTTAGCCCAGGCCTCCTGACCCCCAATGATCCTGGTCTCCATCTCCTGTTCTGGAAGGAAGGACCGAACCCCCGCCAGGTCTACAGACACATTTTATACAATACTTTAACAAACTCTAATTCTGTAGTGTGTAGCTAACAGAGCTAACAGAGCTAACAGAGCTAACCAACCATGAGCAGCTGCTGTGAGACTGGAGCTTTAACAGTCACTAGAAGCACATTCATGCTGTTCGGTCAAATTTATAGAAATGTCCCAAACTTCGACTGAGACATTTTTAAACACATCAAATACAGATGTTCCTAAATGCGTTAATAATGTGAATATTAACAGCAACATTGATGATCACAGTACGGTCTGATAATTCGGTTTACACCCAAAAAAAAATTTGAATCCAAAGTATCCAGAGAAATGTCCATGTTCCTGCAGAGTTTCATTTAAAGTCACATTCAGCTGGTTATGGATCTGATTCAACTTTAAATCTGAAGAGAGAAAAATTGTCTTATTTTTTCGCCCTCATATATGAATCTGATTCACTAAAAATTAAAATGATTCAAGTACATTTCATTTAGTTTATGATCTAAAATCGTTTGGAAATTTTGTTAAATGAAATCTGATCTGAGTTATTTGAAATTTAAATAAATTCATATTAGATGCATTTATTAAAGTTAAATAATCATATTGAAAATTAACTTTTCAGACAGCAGTTTACTGACCTGAGAACAGCAGTTAGTTTGTGTGAGATAATGTCGACGGTACCTGTGTTGTTGTTGTTGTTGTTGTTGTTGTTGTTGTTGTGAACTGATCCGAGTTCAGCTGCAGACACAAACACAAACAGTTAAATTCAGGAATAATAAAGGCGAGTATTGAGAGTGGATCTGGTTTCTGACCTGTGTGCAGTGTGAACAGCAGACAGAGCGCCGGCAGCATCGTGACTCTTTCCTCTTGTTCACTCACTCTCTGCTCTTTGATGACTCACCTGCCACACTCACACCTGTCTGATGAGAAACACCTGCTGGAGGTCAAACTGCCCCAGAACCAGTTTCATCAAACAGGAAGTCACTTTGGTTTTATTTTTTACAATAAAAACAATTAAAAGTATGTTGAATACAGTTTAATGTTTGTGATTTTTATGTTAATGGATATGGGGAATGAAAGGGGACTTTCCAGCATTCATTTGCTCCTGCAGAAGAGAATAAAACACAGGAGGAACTATGGAAACCCAGGAGGTACAGAAGAAGTAATTTCCACAGGAAACAGGAATAAAAATAACTCAATAAGATCAAATTGACAAATACAAATAGAAAATAAGAATGAATTAAGTGCAATTAACTCTGTTACACTGTAAACCAAATCTGTAAATTGAAAGGATTTTTCTCATTTATTTTACAGATCTGTATTTTTTAAATAGATGGAAATATTATATATTGTATATAAAAATTTAATTTTATAACAAATTGAGACTGATGCCACAGGACAGAAACAGAAAAGAAAACACACCTTTCTGTTTCGTCATATTCCAGTATAAGGAGCAGATCCTGTTACTAATCTCCCACCACACCAGCTGCTTATTTCAGACACAGCATTTGGACTCAGTGAATCATCAGGAACCGACTGAACCGGTAAGCTGCTTTATACAGTTTATTTTCTGCCCACTCAGCAACATTTATACACAATAATAGAATCTCTGAACTTTACAGATCAGTTAAGAGTTAACATCTAGAGCGGTGGCCACCCAGCTGCCCATTTAAAAACTGTTTTGTTCCACATTGGCCACACAAGATTGTAAATAAAACAATGTATTGATTTCTAACTTTAGATATTTTTATTCAATGCTTTACTGATGTGCCACAGGAAAGTTTGTGAGTTCTCTCTACATCGGTCCCTGCACACTGAGCGCTGCCAGCAGCTTTTATTTCCGGACATATAAATAGTTACAGGTTACTACAGTTCAGTCACAAAGAACTCCAGTGGCCTTGTAACTATCTGTTACAACAACTAACTGTTGAGCTTCTGTCTCTTCAGACTACTTCTGATTGTTCAGGACAACAGGAGATATTTTGGTTTTTTTATGAGAGAATCCAGAACTTCATTCCTCTAGACCAACATAAACCTGTAAAGACTGTAAAGGGAGAGTTGCTGAAAGCGGGTGAGGGGTCCAGCAACACTGGGGGCAGGGCTGGGTGTCAGTTTTCAGGGCTGACGGGAGAGCCTGAGATTGTCATCTAATTTCTGTGGTTCATATTAACCCCCTCTTGACTAATAATAATGGTGTAGTCTACAGGTAGGAACTCTGCCCTCTGGTGGTTGGGAGGATTAATATCTAGATTATTTTTTTGTTGTACAAATGTACAATGGAACAAACAACAGCACAACAATTTAACCGCAGAAAAACTACCTATCCTTCAGCACAAAACGGACCATCAAACAGATGACCGAAACGAGCCCCCAATTTGTCACGACCCGGCTCTGGAGCTGTGACAAAAATGAGGAGATGCAGTTGAATGATAAATTAGAAGTAATTTATTTAAACATAACAATCTTAATGCAACCAGAAAAAGAACTGAAAATAGAAGATGAGGTGTGTTTGTCAGTAACATCAGTAGTGGAAAGCGCTTCGCTCGCTGCACTCGAGTCGCTCGATTTCGCCCACGGCCGGCTCCATCCGCTTCTTACCACTACTTCCGCACCCCACACACAACACACGACACACCCACAACATCAGCTGCGCCGGCCGAATGACGCCGACACACGAGCCACTTGTCGAGCCAGAGAGGCGGGGCTTTTATAGCTGGGAAACACCGGGCCCAGGTGCTTCCGGCTATGCCGATTGGTCCAACCCGCAAGTACTGCTGCCTTAAAAGGAAGAGGAAACATTAGAGCCACTCAGGGGACGGTCACACTACAGTAATATATCAGACAACTGAGTGCATTAATAAGAGAACTTAAGCAGGCATTTAAAAGTAACACAACACAACTGATTCCTTTTATATACAGTAATTGTTTAAGTAACCCTCCCAAAAGTGATAAAGGACTGAAAGACTGAAATACAAGATGCGTTATCTTTCCTTTCGCTCTCGGGCTTCTCTCCTCCTCTTTCAGGAAAATTTTTTTTTTTGGTAAAATCTGTGGAAAAGTTGCAGTGATTGGACAAAAGGTTGTGCAGAATTCACAGCATTGGTTAAATTTATGGTAAGCGTTGTGGTCGCAACTTCTTGGAAGAACTGATGTACTGCTACTGTTCAATAAATTCACTTCTTAACCAGAAAAAACTTTTAACTTTTTACATCTCTATCATGAAATTATATTATAATGAAAACCTTGCTGTGTGAAGGAGTTTCTTCTATGATGTCTCAGTCGGAGGTCACTATAGTCACTCTGATGGGACGACATGACGCTCAACATAAGAGGTAAAATCATGAGGATGTTTCTTCATTCGTTGTATTTATTAGTAAGTAGTAGTAATTTATTTGATACATTACTCAAAGTACGACTCTGTTTCTGTAGGTCAATCCAGCAGAGAGCAGACTCTCTCGTGCCCAGCTGTCTGTCCATGAAGTCAGACCGCTCCATGGACTACCCAATGAATTTTAAAACGAAACAAGACCTTCGAAATGGAAGGTAAGTTGTTTGTTTAATGATCATTAACCTTTAGCCACTTCCTCAATAGAACCTCTACAGATTATTCAGAAAACACAATAAACAAAAGTTAGTTATTTCCTATTTTATGTTGAAAGGGTCCTTCCTTGTCTGTCTTGGTCGACTTTACTTTGACTCTGTGTTTGTCTCTGCTAATGTGGTTTTCTGGATTGTTCTTAATGTTTTGTTGGTCTACTTTTGTTGGGATTATTCTTTGTTCGACTGTTGTTTTGTTTCATTTAACCCTCCTGTGTGTCCTGTCCGCATTTGGGTCCACCTTTGAACTGACACATCACTCAGTAATCTGCTTTGTTTTGACACACTGACACTCAGATCTTAATTTCCAAGGTCCAGAGTGCAAGGAAAGGTCTTTAGTCATCACTGTTGTTCATGTCAGATGCAAATTCACTGTATCTGAACCTACTTCTGATTTCTGAACATTATTCACAGTAAAACTCTGTCTCTGTAGGCCAATGAGGCAAAGATCAGAATCCCTACCCAGCTGTCTGTCCATGAAGACGGACCGCTCCATGGATTACCCAATGAATTTTAAAACAAAACAAGAAATGTAAGTTATTTGGTATCTTAATTATATGAGTTGCATTAACTCTAAACATTATATTTTTGTTTAAATGAACTAGAGAGTTTTCATTTTGAAATGAAATGTTGCATTAAATAATTATATATCAAACTAGTAATGTAACCTTTGATGATTTCCTCAGAGACAACCATGAGTATTTCAAGCCTCAGTCTGTCCAGGAGCATCAAACAGACATTGGCTCCATATTTATGGTGAGAAACTACACAGCAGCACTTGAACAGTATGATTTAAGCTTTAATGAGTTTTAATATAGACACCATCTGATCCTTTAATCTGCAGTATTGATTAAACATTAGTATCTTTTGTCCCAGCTTCTTGAGAAGAACATCATCAAATTCGTGAGGACTGAATTAAAGAGGTTCCTGAGACTTCTGAGTCAGGAACAACCAGAATGCCTTGGGAATCAGAGGGAGGATGAGGAAGTGGTAGATGAGGAGGAAGAGCAGAGGAGGAGGAGCAGAGAGGCATTTCTGAAGATCACAGTGCACTTCCTGAGGAGACTGAAGCAGGATGAGCTGGCTGACTGTCTGCAGAGCAGTAAAACAGACTTGTTCATTAACATTCACATTATTGATGATACTCCATTTGTTGGATAGAACTTTTTTTGTTTGTTGCTTAACTGCTCCAGCTGTCCATTTTCCGCTACTTATCCAGGTTTGGGTCGCTGTGGCAGAAGGCTAAGCAAAGTAACCCATACCATTACACTTCCTCCAGCTCTTCCTGGGGGATAGTTCCTCACTCTGGGTCTTAATCAGGGTCTCCTCCCAGTTGAACATGTCTGAGATGCCTTCACATAGAGGCGTCATGGAGGCACAGACCATAGTATGGAGGATGGACTCAATAATGGCACCATTATTGTCTTCAGCAGGTTGAACTTGCTGATGTTCAGCTTCCACTTGAGGTCTTCGGTGCTCAGGAAGAAAAGGGAGAGCTGGGTTCTTTCTGTAGTCCAGAAGAAAAACATCACTACTCTCAACATCACTACTAGGGTGAATGTGGCATGTAGTGT